TTTATTTATTTATTAATGTTATTATTTATTTAAGTATTTATTTATTTAAAGTTTATTTATTTATTTATTTGAATTTGACCTCAAAATGGCATAGCTCAATCTTCTGGTGTGACTACAAACTTCTCTCTGGTGACGTATGCCGAACTTGTCCACTTAATTACTTTGCGCAAACTCTAATTCATTTAGTCAGTAACTGAGAACCAACCATATATTTTTTACCTTATATTTAATGCACCCTATATTTTTTTCTTTTGCAAAAAAAAAAAACATTTTCACTTGGATGTACTTCACAATATGGAAGAAAAGAGAAGACTTTAGTTTCATTCCAAAATTTGTAAATTTGAAGATATTTCATAAGAGATTCACTTGAGTCTGAGTTCAGTGAATCATTTGTATTTGTTGTCACTCACTTGTCTTCATGTAGAGTTGAACATGGTCTTAAATGTTTCTCCAGGGCTGAACTCTTTGACACAGCACACAGTTAAAGGCAGCAATGAGCTCTCTGGAGTGATGAGTGCCACAGTTTTATCGGGCAGCTGTATAGATGTCTATCCCTCATCTTTATGGGGACATTTATGATGGGGGGATTTCCAAGACACTGATCACTCTCCTTTGTATCTGAGACAATAACCTACAGGACCAACCTTGAGTTTCATGCTTTTTGTGTGCTTTGTTGTTGTTTATGTTAACTAAATATTGTTAATAATATACTGGAGAAGACATTTATATCTAAATCAAATATTTCCAGGTTCATTGTACTAGCTGCTTTTCAGTTGTTGTTGCATAGTCATGCCAGTTTTCCTTTGACATATGTGTGCCATTATTTTTTTGCCGGGAGTTGTTTCAAAGGGGTTTTGATATATTTGAATATTCAGTAAATATTCATTAACAAGACACTGATTGGCCAGTAAAAGTATGTGGAGGCGGGAACAGATCAGAATGAGCTCATTGACTTGACGGTAAGGATGTTAATGGGAGCCATTTTCACCTAATTCACCATTTTAATCTAATAGATCGCGTTATAATATTGAAAATGCAAGTGTGCTACGTCTCTCTCTCGCAATTGTAGCTGAGCTCTAGGATTTATCACGGTAATATTTCCACTCTGCCTCCCATTTCAGACATTGATTACCCTCAATAACAGCAAACTTGGACTTTTTTCCACATGTACCTGGTCCAGTGCCAGAGTGATTAAGTTGCTTCTAAGCCGATTAATGAAAGAAGGTCTGAATAAAAAAAAAAACCTTTGAAAATGAAGGAAATGACTTTCCACAGCAGATGTGTTGCTACATTGCCTATTATGTTGCCCATTAAATAGCCTTTTTCAATGGCCCATTATTTTCCTCAATAAAAACACTCACTGGAGCTTGCATACTCCCTGCACTTCAGAAAGCATATTGAAGGAATGATGAAATCCCCTGTATAAAATGAAACATTTGATGTCTTAAACGCAAACCAGACGGGTTCAGGCTACTTGACGGGGCTTCATGGCAGGTGTGGAGTGGCCCAATTCTGTTTTATAACTGCCACTCTCTCCTCAGAAAGTCTGCCAGGGAACAAGCCCCCTGCCAATCGCCTGCCTCTCGCATGCCCTCGGATTACTGAAATGTCGCGCCCATTATGGAGTTATTGAAAGGCAAAATCGTGGCAGAAACCATTAAGGGACCTCCCTTCAAATGTCACATTATTCTATTCTATTCTATTCTATTCTATTCTATTCCATTTTCCAAGGTATTACATTTTGTATCATCTTTTCATTATGTATATTTGTCCGAATAGTGGGGTTCTGTGTAGTTTATTTATGGAATCCTGCAAGATTTGACGTCATCTGTTACGGCGCTCACTGACTGACTTCGCCGCTGTGTGATAGCGCGGGGCTTGTTGATCCCGCCCTCGCTGAATTTCTGACCATTATCGCATGCTCTCATCCGCTCCTGCGATTTTTGTGTCCGCTCCCGCAAACATTCTAATATTGTATATAATTTTCGCGCATCAGGGTGCCGCTATCAATATGTGGGGTATTTCAATACCTTTTGAATGAGCGCTCGCAGTCGCAGTTTACTTTAACTTTCGATTTCGCGATCGCGCACGCACTGTGTAAAGGGAGCACATCTTACAATAAAATATATTTGTCAATGAGCTCGGGATCTGTTGAGGAGCAAATCCTCCAACATCTCGTCAGTTATCTCTCCTTACTTTTGACCCCTGATTAGTCAAATCTGATTTCTGAAGCTCGTGTTGGATGCAGGGTTGTTGTTGTTTTCCATGAAATTGGGCTGCTTTTAAACTGTTGCCATGGGTTGATTTTCCCCAGTGGGTTAAAGGTTTGAAATATTGCATAAATTACATTTGGTTGAAATGCTTGTACTGAAACATTTTGCATTCTACCTGTAATAAAACTGTGCTAAATGTTTTGGGCCACACTAGTAGGAAGCATTTGAGCTGTGTATATTATAAATGTGCATAACCGTGACTGTAAAAGATGTATTTTAGGGATGGAAATGACATTTTTATATTTGGAACGTGGTAATTGCGCTACTTAGGGCTGTTTTTTTTTTTACTGGCATGGGCTTGGGATGCTTAATTAAAATGATGTAATAGTTGTGATTATTATTTTACCTTCCATGATAATTCAGACATGATCAGGTGCAGTACTGACACTCTGTCAAGTCTGCATCAAATCAAGCACTCTGTAATCACAGGTAAACTGTCTGATCAGTCAGATGTTTGCCATGAGAAGTGCTCCACAAAACAGCTATGGTTTGCAGACATAAGAGTTGATGTGACAAATACATCTTTTGAATATACTGTGTGAAGTCATTGCCCCGTTAGCTCAGAGAGCTTTATTTTCCCTCCTTAATAAGTTTTGTCAGTTGTTTTGTTTATTGGTCTAATTCTTGTTTCTTGGGTTGCATTGGTTAGTCACTCAATTAATTCTCTTGTGCTTCATTCCCCCCTTCTGAATTATGTTGTATTGATAAGGAGTTATCACAAAGTAAGTCTGTTTAGTTGTGCTATCTTACAATAAATATATAGTAAATGTATGTTAAAATTGTCACTGATGTAACCGGTTAAAACTTGGAGTGGCGATGAAGTCTTAAAATGTATGGAAAGAGTCTTTAAAAAGGTCTTAAAAGGTATTACATTTAACTCCATGATTCCTGTATATACCCTGTATTCTATTCTATTCTAGTTTTTAGTTTAAAATGTTCTACATGGATTACTGAACATAAGAAACTGATATGCGATCTCAAAACCTCGTTGGCTGTCTGAATTCTGAATTGTGACATTTTGAAAAAGCCTTTGCAACCAATACAGTTCATGTCCATCAATTACTGAGAGAGCCAGGTTCATCTGGCCTCCAGTAATATGACTGTTTACCCCTTTGCATGTGGCTCTGTGAAATACAAGCCTCTAGTATTGTATTTTTCAGGCTTGTGATATATTGTCGTAATGTGACAGAAAGCCAGGATGAAATGTGGCATTTTGGAAAGGTCAGTTCATGGCCGTCTCACAATTCGTCTCCCATCATGACGGTGGCAGTTGTCATATGGATGTTGGCATGTGCAGTCATCCTATAACTTGGGGAAAAATGCTATGGGACCGTCTGAGGATGATGATTGCCTGTTTTCTTGTGACATTCCAAAGTAAAATGCAAATTTTTTTTTTTGCTTTCAAAGTAATTTTCTGTTAATTTTCATTATTTTTTTTCTTTTTGTTAGGAGTATGTTAACATTTTTTTTTTTAAGTACACTATCATTCAAAAGTTTGGGTTAAATGCAGGGTAGGCGATTTGGTTCAAAAACATTTTTTGTTATGCTGGTTGAAAGTCTCTTCACATCCTGATAGCAATCACTAAGTTAAGTGGTCTAAATGTATTTATATGTATTTAAATTGTCTGTGGAAGGCGCAGGACCATAAAAAGTTCATCCAATCATATTGTTCGGTCCGAGGGCTACGATAGGCTGTCCTACCTACTTGTCAACGTATGTATTTGCATACCTCTACAGTTGTTTTTTTAAATTGTGATTATATTTCACAATATTAACAGTACAAAAATACACAATATTTACTGTATTTTTGATCATATAAATGCAGACTTGGTGAGCATAAGAGACTTCAAAATCATTAAAAATCTTGCCAACCCCAAACATTTAAATGGCAGTGTAAATTTAATTAATTAAAGTTTAAAACAAACAATATGGGGAAAAAAAATATTTATCAAAACTTTAGCATTATAGGCATTTATGATGCAACATAAAATAACAGAATTACCAAATTAATAGAACTGTCTTTTCTTTTTTTACTTGATTTAAGCAGTTGATTTTAACTACACCTTGGTTTAGGTTTTTCTATGTATATTAATTAAGGCAGTGTATCCATGTTAAGGTTTAAAATTACCTTATTATTATTATTATTATTTTAATTTCTCTCAAATTCCCCCAATGAGAGTCCATTCAGCAGGAGGAGGGAAAAAAGGCATGCTCGTCCCAGAATCAAATCAAATTCCTTTTATCATCATGTTATTTGCTGACGTTATCTGTGCAGGTAATGTGGTTATAAATTCAATTTCAGCCATGGGATTTCATTGTTTACTGATGTTGGTTGCCTTTAGGCAGAGATGCAAGCAGTTAGTACTTGTCAGTGAATTTATTTGAGATGTACCATAGATGAAATTTAAAAGAGAAGGGACTCACAGGGGGGCCGACTGTCACTTTCTCAAGGTCATGGCTCCAGGTGACGTTTACATACAGATCCATGTTTTATTCAGAACTATTTGCTTTCATCTGGCCACTTGTTAGCCTGTGATGGCCTCGCTATGAGACAGGTATTGCTACTCGATGTTTCCACTGTCATGTTGATGAGCTTCATTTATGTGACACATCTGCCTGGACTAGATGATTTTTATCATTGTAAAGAATTCTCTTTATTGCTCATTGAAGGATTATAATAATAAAGCATGTCTTTTTTGTGTGTCCCTCTGTCACCTATCTCTCCAGGTAAAGTGAAGGCCCTGTATGACACTGAGACGCCCATGTGTCCAATCTGTCATGCTGTGCTGCGGCCAGGAGAGCTGCAAGAACACATGGAGCATGAAATGGAGCGTCTAATGCAGCTGCACAATAGGTACATCGTCCAATTCATTCTTGACACACACTTGAAGCAGTCTTTTCATTTTTATTTATTTATTTATTTATTTATTCGTTTGTTCATTCATTGATTCAAACCATGTAGAAATGAATGCATGTTGTTTTATTTATAATAAATAAAATTGTATTTAACATTTATTTATTTGAATCAAGTACTTAAATCGAGAATATCCCAATGCTGACCCAATTTTTGTGGTTCTTGAATGTTTTTTTTTGTACTTTATTTGTTTGATTGTTTGTTTTTGTTTTTTGTTTTTTGTTTATGTAAACCATTTAGAAAGAAAGAAATACATTTTATTTGATCACAAATACATTATTATCTAACATTATTTTATGTAATTATTTAAATTGAAAAATCTAAAAAAAATATAAAAAAAAAAAATGATAAACTATCCCAATGGTGTCGCAATTTTTGTGGTTCTTGAATGTATTTTGTTGCCATAATCAAAAATCCTAATAAAAATCAAACAATAACTTTTTATTTATTTATTTATAAATAAATCTTTCCAGTCATTATTTCTTCAAACTGCTGGGTTGCGGGAATGCTGGAGCATAATATAAATGCAAATAATTTATCTTATTATTTTTATTTTATTAATACTAGTTTTATTTAAAATGTATTTATTTAAGTAAATAAATAAATAAATAAATAGATAGAGTATCCCAGTGCTGTCTGCTATGACAGTCTTTTACAGAGGAAACCTGACATGTTCCTCTGTAATGAACATGATACAATCCATATAATGACTGAGACAATCAATAATCTATCAACCTCCCTCTGCTTCGCTCATGTCTTCTTTTGTTTTTCCGTCCATCCAGCTCATCTGAGATCGTCAGTCGAGGATTGATTTGATTTTTTTTAACTGCCTCAATCTCTTTGCGTCGGCCGGAGCATGTAGACAGTAAAGTGCCGCTGACAGTCAGCATGCTCTTCTGTCACTCTTACTCAAATCTCATCCAGGCTCATGAAAATGCATCGCCGCCCATAGTAAAGAGATCAAAACTGGAGACAAGAACAGGAGAGATGGAGGAAGGGCAGAATTAAAGCAGATTGAGACTCTGAACACGCACACACACATACATACGCACACAAACTCCTTGACACCTCCTCCCTGTAGCCTGTCCCTTCCAAAGGCACATTAAATGCTTCCAGGTCTTGATGGCATATTTATCTACAGCCTCCGGGCATGTGCACCATGCCTCCGCCCTTCTCCTCTGTCTCCTCCATCATTGCAACATCACAAATTACAAGCTGTTACATTGTTCCTGACATTTCACAGCCAGTCAAGCTCAAGGCAGTCCCTGCGAAAATCACAGCAAGCTAATAACGCGTTTCCTCAACGTTTGCTATAAGCATCAGACGAGGCAGGGCGGCACATTAGCCACTCTGAACACATGAAGGATTTCTCCAATAAAGAAATTATAGCCATAATCTCAGTTTGCAGTGTATGGTCAGATTTTGGAGTCATTAGCATCAAAACATTTCAATTTATACCTGAATTAAAGTCAGCATGAATTGCTGGGTTCACTCAATATTCAGTGAGAACAAATTATGATGGCTTAACGGCCCATTCTTAAAAAAACAAAAAAAACAATGGTGTGATTATGGATATTGAAGAGTCCCTTTTCTTTTTCTCTTATTTCATTTCAGACATTTTTGCGAGTACAAGCAAACAGGCAAACAAGACTCAATGGTACGTTGTCAATGACTTTCAGTATCTCAAAATATTCTCCCTGTACTGTATTTCTCTGTTTTTTCATTCAGTCATTTCCTATGCAGGGTCATAAGCGTGCATTAAGAGCTTGGATCTGACCAGATTCATGAATCTCCTAATGATTAATACAAAAATGAGTTTTATTCCTTAAAAAGACATTCTTTGATCTTTGAAACTGATATTTTGTAATTATTATAAATAAGACAGCACTTGTATACTTTCACTTACAATGAACAGTCACAGTTAAAGCTCCACCCCTGACCTTTGACCTAGCACCCTCACGAGCAGAGCAGATTATTGACCTTTAACCTTTTGATATGTTAACAGTTAAGGAGCTCTGCTGGTGCAGGTGCTACGCCAAACAGAAAGTGAAATCTGTTCATGTTTGGCCTGACTGTGGATTCCCACATGTGTCCTCTTGCCCACTGTCTGGTAAGCTGTTCTCCACACACGGCACATAACTGCAGATACAGTACCAACACTTTATTATTTTATTTAGTAAAATGAGTTATTTAAATTTAAATATCTAGAATACCAATCAGCACTTACTTAAAATAATCTTAAAGGAGAAAATGACTGTAGAATCATTTTTTGCAGATGTAGAATGAGACGGTGAAAATTATATAGTATTTAATGTAATATTATGCCCTTGGCACAGTAATACACAGAGTACTGAATCTCTGTACTGTGAAATATTGATACTCTATCATGTTGAATTTTCGATCATTTATCACGACTGTTAAATTTTGAATTTTTATGTTATTTCATTAACATCTAAAAAAGGTGCACTAGACGATTGGTCACAGCTAATTGATCAGATTGTCTCTCTAATTAATGATCCCCTCGCCGTTATGCTCAGCTTCATTGTGATTGTAATGGACTCAGCTCTGTTTCTACTGTCTACTTTGACTATATTATGAACTGAGGCTCCTAAAGATTAATGTCCCTTAACATCAATAGCAGCTCAGCAAAACACAGAGATTTTAATGGAGTGGTGGATACCATTCTACAATGCTGAATGTTACTTCTTCTGTGTGTGTGTTCAAGAGAAGGAGATGCAGAGAATTCTGGAAATCTTTTATTTGTCTTTATTTTATAATCAGATAAACAGATCAGTCCAATTCCCATGCCATTTATTTATCTTTTGTAGGCCATAGAGGCCTTTCTGTCTTATCAGTTTATGTCAGCTAGAGATTGTATATATTTCCATCATAAAACTGCCACTGGAGAAGAATCGAATGTATTTATGCTTCATATTTTTAGATAATATGAAAAGTGTCGAGAATCAGTAAAAAAAAAAATCAGCTGTTTTGTTTCATTTTTTCGTTTTTTTTTTGTTGTTTTTTTTACAGCACGCATTGGGAAACTGAAAAGACGGAAAGCAGGGGAAGACCAGGTATGATGAAAATGCAGCTTATTTCTCATTGTGCATATGTTTAAAGGTTTCATTCAAAACAATGAACCTTCCTTCCCCTGTAGTCTGTAATTTCTCTAGATCTGCTTTCACTGACAGATCACAGACTGTTTGTGATGTCTGTACTGACAGGCAGCATGAGATAGGCATCAGCTGTCCTGTTCTGCTAAGTCAGTCGTATGATGTATAAGACAGGTAGATGTGGCCAGAAGGATCAGACAAACTAAACCTGCATGTGAAATGTTTCTTTTTATTTTCTGTTCTTTTCAGCTGTGACCTAATGCCAAGAGGGCATTCAGGACAGGTAGCAAATGAAAGTGTTGTCTTGAGGCTGATGCAGACATTTTCACCAGAGATACTGATATGTGTGTGTTTTCTACAGAGAGACAGCGTGTGTGTTGTTGAAGATGGCTCTGTGCTGTCAGCCGGGAGAGAGTTTGAATGGGCCGAACAGAGAAGAATACAGATGGTTTCTGTTCTCAGAGGCTTCAGAGGTACAAAACACAAACACTTCACAGTAATTTATCTACACACCAAACACTCAAATACAGTACATCCATATAAATCAATCCATATTTATAAGTCGTCAGATTGGAGTCAGGTATCAGATTAGAAAAACAAATATCTTAAGAAATCGTAATGTATAATAAAAAAGCCACTTGAAATCAGTTGTTGTGTCCCAAAACCTACAAAACTGTCTACAGAGAAGAACTTTAGTCCCATTATGCATTGTGACAAATTCAGTGAAAAAAAATGCAATACTAAAATGTATCTATAAACAATCAGTGCAACTAAAAACAGATTATTTAATCCAATCTCCAAATGTGGTACACTGAAAAAAATGTGTAGTATTTACTTTAAAACAATTTTCACTCAGAAATTGCTAGTAATTTCCACAAGTTTCCAAAGAAAAGTCAAGTAAAACATTAAATTAAAGTTGAAATTTGAAGTAGAAAGACTGAAATAGTATTTTATATATTTTATGTAAGTTTAGCATTATGCTAAATAGAGTAATAATCTATTGAAATCGAATGCAAAAGGCAAGTCTATTTGTAGAGTTAATGCCAATGCACAGCATTCCCAAATCGGTTGCTTATGAGCTTGAGTGACCGCCTATGTATTATGTAAACAGCAAGCTCACTTAGTTTTGCAACAGAGCTTGTGTGTGTGTGTGTGTGTGTGTGTATGTGATTAGTTCACAACAGACACGTGAGATAATGGTAGTGGTGTTAACCTCATGAGAAGGAGATTACTGTAAAAGCACTTAGACAGGGGTCAAAAAAAACCGATCACAAAGGGCTCAGAGGTCATACAGACCCTTGTATCCTTTAAAACACTTTTGATTTTATTAGCACTTTGCAGTTCATCAGTAGGGTGCATTTGTATCTCAACCTATTTTTGAATTTCACACTCTCTATTCCTTTGGCACTCTTGTTCTGTAAGGCTTTAGTTTTTTTGTCATTTAATGAATCCTCATGTCAAATGTCTTAAGGTTTGGTGAGCAGCACATTGAAAGAACATCAGGACAGTGATGCAGATCTGGATGTGGACGGTGATGATACTTTGGAATATGGAAAAGCACAGTATCCTTATTTTTGCTGTCAGTCAGCACAGTTTATGGCACAGCAAGGATGTGCACTGATCTTTTGTTCTTTCATGAAAGCATTTTTGATAGTAAGAAATGTTTCCTCAGCAAATCATCTCAGATACACAGAGGCGGATGTGATTCCCTGTTCAGGAAATGAACCCAGAGATGCAGAGGAGAGGCAGGCATTAAGAGGAGCTGTTTTAAAGTATGCACACACAAAACAGCATATTATTAGGGCCTATACGCTTTATTAATTCTTTTTTTTTTTTGCTTTAAAAGTGGTGACACAACTAGCAGGTTATCTCCAGAGCAAACCAAGTTGGCAAACTCAGGTGAGCCAAGAGATTTTTAGAGATGTTAGTTTAGTAAATGTTTAATGTAGTTAGCTTCTTATATATATATATATATATATATATATATACACACACACACACACACACACACACACACACATATATCT